TATTTTTAATATTTTGGGTGACTATTTAAGTTTTTATATTCACACTATATTGTGATTAGATGGTAATCAAGTTTACTTTATTTTGATGATTGTTTGTACTTCAGGGGAAGGATTATGGTAGTAACTTGATGGGGATTCTATTTTGAGAAAGGATAGTGCTATTCCTTCTACATTGATCTTCTGGGACCTGTCACATGTCCCAAAAGACTACAGGGAGGGAGGACACCTTCCGTTTCCGATCACCTAGGCGATCAGACCGGAAGTGGGAGTGGGTACCTGTCAAATTCGGGTACCCGCCCCCCAAAGGTGCCAATCCTTAATGGGGAGCAGGGAAGCAGTCCTTAAAGCAGAACGTCCCCTTTTGGGTGGAGCTCCCCTTTAAATTAGCGAAAGTTCTTCCCAAACTGGCTGCAAGGGATCATGAGAAAAACTATACAAAACTTAAAATATGAAAATTTTATTTTAAGCAATAATTACAGAAAAATCACAAACTGTATTGTGCCTTCACTGATTTTAGCCAAGCACTGGGTCATTTTAAGAAATAAGAGAACATACTGTAAAAGGAAAAGCGGTCAGGTAATAGGAATGGATGAGAAAAGTACTATTATTATAATATAATTCAATAAATTGAGTAAGATGACCTAGACAATGAAGGAAAGAGAAAATGAGGGACAAATGACTGAGCCTTGCTGTATACCAACCAAGGGAGGATAGGACAAGAATGGGGAGAGAGGCTCCAGTTCAGGTCAAGCAACACAGAAAGGACTGTAGAACCCAACTGGAGCGATGTCAATACTTTCATTTGATAGTATATGTAATATAGATAGCCATATAAATTTCCTGGGTATTTAGATTCAGTCAATGTAGTTAATCTACCAAAGAACCTGTGTAATGCATATGTGTTACTAGAAATGCTGTGAATAACACGCTCAGCATCTCTAGAACTTTAATTTTCTTATTAGCATGTTAAAGCTCCCACTTAGTAAATCAGGATATCATTCAGCATGCTGAACTTCATTACAGAAAACAGGATAACTCAAAGTGCTACACATACACAACTGCAAAAAAACACATTCTGCAAAACTCTCTGGATCTGCCAACTAAACAAGTAACACATTTAACCCCTTCACGCCTAAGGGTAAAACTAATCTAAATGCCTAAGCACAATTTTGCAACTTTGACATGTGTTAGCAAAACTGTACATATCATCACAACTACTTTCTGCAGCCAGGTGGATTATGCCTTGTTTTTTTTCAGGACAAACTGGGCTTTCATTTGGTGGTAAATGGTAATGGATATCTGATTATTTTTTTTATTACCAAAAGAAAAACTGGCCCAAAATAGTAAGAAAAAAACCCTTTTTTTTAATTTAGCTGTATATTTCATGCTACTACCATAACCTACCACCAAAGAACAACCAAAATAAATTTCTCCTGCTCCTGATGATCGCAACGATACCACATGTGTGTATGTTAGTTTTTGTTTGCACCCGTAGTACAGCCCAGAAAACATAGTGCGCAAATTTTTTTTATTCTGCCACTAACTGATACTAATTTAAAAATAAAGAAAAAAAAAAACCCTGACCCAAAAAAAAAAAAACAAAAAAAAAAAACAAAAAAACAAAAACAGACCCTGACCTGTGAAGCTGACCTTGACCAAAACACTAACCCTAGCACAAACCTTGATCTAGGTATTTCTATTTATTTTGTTATTTTTATTTATTTATTTATTTTTTACACACACTTTTTTTTTCTCTCTGAAAGGACAGAGAGAGAGAGATACAATGTATCTCTCTCCTCCATTCAGAAAGAGAAAAAAGAGAAAAACAAGCGGGGCGGGCTTCACAGTGACTGATCACTGTGACAGCCAATCAGAGGCTATCACAGCAATCAGGTGACCCAGAATTGGGAGTTCTGGGTCCCGATCATTAGAATGGGACCCGAATCTCTCATTGACACCTGGGATCTGGGAGCAAAGACAAATTAGTGGCCCTACGGAAAAAAGCCCAGTTCTGTGAGGCCGTTAATTTGTGTGCTGTCAGCGTCAAGGGGTTAAGTTACATGATGTAAGAAAGCATAACTTTAACAAATCAGTTTGGGACCTTTGGGGTCAGTTTCCCCATAGAAATAGGAAACTTAGCAAGGGTCATTAGAAATAAGGGGGAGCACTGCATGACATGAGTGCACTCATGATTTCTTCATTATAGAATCTGCAGTAACAGTAGATATACAGAGTATCAGACAAAAGCTGAACCATGCTGGTTAAAAAGTAAAAGAGAATCTGAATTAACAAGGTGCATCACTAAAGGCTCATTTTCACTTATGATAGCCCTCTGAAGAGCAATTTGCATCATTCCCGTGCAGTTCAGTTTTGCAGCCCATTCATTTGAATAGGCTGCAAAATGCACTGGAATGCCGAAAAAGGTGTGCAAGCACTACTTTTTCCGAATGTACTGCCATGCGATTTCGTGCCCACAAACGCAGAGCATTTGCAAGATGTGTTTGGGGTGCCATTAACAATTGGCACCCTCATGCTCTTGAAGAGGGGATTTTTTTTGCCATTCCGCAGTGCAAAGCATCGAAGCTAGAGCATGTGTGTACCCACACACTGCTGCTTGTACTGCACTTTGGGGGGGGGGGGGGGGGGGGGGGGGGGGGGGGGGGGGGGGGGGGGGGGGTCACTGCCTGTTTTTTGCCACCTCCCCAAGTGCAAGCGTAAACTAGACCTATGAATGCTGATCTAATATTATCCAAACCAATGTTAAAGCCACAGACTGTCACAAACTTGTATGTAGGTTTCAAGTGAGCACTTAAAGCACACTACAAAGTAATGAAGATATGAAATAACACATTTTAAGAAGGGTAAATAAAAATTGTAAAAACACTACAGACTAATGATAGATAAATTTAAACTACTGATTGATACAAAACTAAATAAAAAAAGCTTTACTTACCTCAGACTTTCAAGATGATAGATGTAAAACAAAAATTCTTTATAAACTCCTTTCACTGAGACAATGATCTACAAAACTAAATAAAAAAAACATTTATTATATTGCTTAACTTTTTAGATTCTTTAGTTTTCCTTTTAGGTCATCATTTTCACCAGGTTTCCACTGCCTGTCAGAAAAAGCTTTACTGAAGTTGTAGCTACTTTACCACTGACAGGGGTGTAAAAACCTTTTATGTAAAACTTTTATCCCAAAAGAAAAAAAGTTTATAAACCATAGCCAAGACAAAGACAAAAACAGGATCCATTCAGTACCTTGGGTAGACTTTACACAATTCAGTACCAATGAGGACTCACTGGGATACTTTTCACAAACAAAGTTTCCACTGGAAAACTCTGAGCAGGTGGAGCAGCAGCCAGCTGACTGTCTAAGTGTGAGAATTCAGTCACTGCTGTCTGTTTTCACCCCCTGAGCAGAGAGCAGTGACTGTCAGTCACTGCTGCTCACTGAAGTGCAGAGTTGTGGAGGGGGAGGATGCAGCTTGCTCAGGCTCTCAGCGGCTTGCTGAGAGGCTGCACCAGGTGCCGCTCCAGACTCTGGAGTGGATCCCGACATTAAAGTCAAGATCTTTCCCCAGCCTGGACTGGCTGAGTGACTTCAACTCGCTGTCAGCTGAAAACGGGTCACAGGAGTGCAGAACGACCTGCACTCCTGTGATGCACAGGAGAAGTACAGCCAAAAGAAAGCACCTCTAGATACAAGAGTCAGGGAGAAATGGCAGAATCAGCTGACACCAAGGGGTTTATTTACTAAAGCTGGAGAGTACAAAATCAAACTCCCTTCTGCATAGAAACCAATCAGCTTCTAACCTCAGCTTGTTCAATGAAGCTTTGGCAATGAAACCTGGAAGCTGATTGGTTTCTATGCAGAAGGGAGTCTGATTTTGGACTCTCCAACTTTAGTAAATAAACCTCCAAATCTCTAAATTTGAGCAGTCAGAATTTGAATCCACTTACATGACTTCAATAATAACCTCAAAAGACCAGGGAAATCAGCTGAAATTTTTCTACCAGGTCCTATATACTGTACCTGAATTAATCTACATAAACAGGACTTCAAACCTTTACTATGTGCTTTGGAAGATGTGGAGAACGATTTTATATATGCTTTTTGAAATTAAAATTCTTACAACAATTCTGGTCAAGGTGAACACCTTTATTAAAAAGGAACTTCACTTCCAATGTGATAATTTGTTTGTAAGTTTTCTCTTACATTTTATCCTAAAACTCATATACTCACCTGCCCGGAGAATCGAATATTGTCCTGTTATGATCTGCCAATCAGATGCCATATTGCCGGGTCCCACGCCGACAGCTTCTTCTCTGATGTTATTGAGCTGGTACTCTCTTTCAGGTTAAGGCATCCAGTTCCCCGATGATACATGTCAGCTATTATATACTTTGGAGGACGGTGCAATGCAATAAAGTTTCTATTTTGAGTCTACCGCTTTAACAAAACGTTTCGTCTCCTTGATATCTTTAACACAAAGAAATGCCTTCTTGGCGTCCAAGGTGACCTACAGACCCCAGCTCACATCAAATGCTTCCTATGTATACTGTATCATTATGCTAGATGACACTCCTGGAATAAAAAATAATCTCCCCAATACTGTCAGAATGGAAACAGCTTAAAAATAGTGCCCGATAATATACAAAAGACATAAGAACTCAGAAGTACACTTTATCTCTTTGAAAAAAAAATATGGGGTCCTTGGCTTCACTCAACCTTCACTGTTCTTGCCTTTGACTACTAGGGATGAAGGTTCCTCCATAAAATCACTCCTTACCAGGATTACTATTTGCTGTACAAGCTAAACTCAACTTGTATTACTATTTAATTCCATGGGATGTATTTACTGATGACTGAAGGCAACTATGTTGTTTTATAAGAGCCATGTTATCATTCTGTACTTTATGAACAATTCAATAAAAACAACTTTAAGAAAAAAAAAAAAAAAAAGGTCTCTACTGGGAAAAGGATATATATATTCTTACCTTTCAACTGCTGGAACAGAACTTAGTCGTGGGTCATCTTTTAGGAGATCATGGCTACTTTTACTTTTTCCCTTCATGGTCTGCAAAATAAATGTATATGCATGGCCATTCATGCTTAATTGTGACCTACTAAGCATCTGCATAGACAATAGCGCTCATTTAAAGAGTTCAGTTAGCTACTGGCTTTCTTAAATATTTAATTCCATTCATGGAAGAGATTCCCTATTTGAATATCCTTGCATGACGTCTCCCAAAACTGTAGCTTATGTGAACTTACGATTGCAACATTTTATGTGAACTTGGTGACCCAACGTAATTTGTTGCGTCCACTATAGTTCCTATAATGTAATATTAATGAGAAGTGTCATGACCACTAATATTAAATAAAAAAACATCAAACTACATGGGGAGGACAGCAGAAAAATTCAGTTTTCTATGATACCTGCTTATAGCAGCATATTACTTACTAGTTTCACCTGAGCTAGGATTTTGAATTTTCACCCACATGACCACCTGATCTGGATTGCTGTATTATAAAGAAACAACATAATTCTGTGCAGCATAGGACAGGAGATGAGGAACAAAGACACAGTGATTCAAGAAAGGAGGGGAGGGGGGCAAAGATGCAATGATAAAGCACAGCTACAGTGACAAGAGGGAGGGGAGAAGAGAGACACAATGATACAGGATGGGGAGGGAGGACAGAGATGCAGTGATACAGAGATGCAGGGATACAGAGATGCAGGGATACAGAGATGCAGGGATACAGAGATGCAGGGATACAGGACAGGTGAGGGTCAAAGAGAGACATGGGAGAAGGGAACAGATATGCAGTGACACAAGGCAGGGGAAGGGGGGACAAAGTGACAGAAAAGAGCAGAGGAAGGGAACAGAGATGAGATGCAGTGATACAGGACAGAGGACGGGACACAGATGCACTGATACAAGGCAGGGGAGGGGGAACAGTAATGCAATACAGGGCAGAACAGGGGGAGCGTAAAAAACAAACAAACAAAAAAAACAGTAATACAGGACGAGTGTGAGAAGAAATCACAAAAAAATAGCCTTAAAATGTGCTGAAGGGGAAATGAACAAAGCCAGCCATACATGAAACTCACCCACACAAAGCCTGGCCAGGTCAGCATGGACCAGACGAATCCTTGTATGGTCTGACTGGTTGTTCACAAGTTGATCAATCGACTTGTGTACAACCAGCCTGTCAGGTTTTTCCTGAATGTTTAGTGCCACTGGCTAGAGCCACTATTACTAATCATTGTGTTCTGCCATCAGGGAAGGCTCCCCAACCAGCAGAAAACAATAGTGCTGCAAGAAGGATTCCCCTCTGGTGGAAGGAAAGAAAATTGCATAATCTGGCCTGCCTAAGGGCTCATGTACACGGGGTGTTGGAAAAACTTTTCTGAATGCTGGAAACTAACTGCTAGAAATTGTAGGTTAGAAAAGTCAGTTTAGCCGTGTTTACTACTGCGTTTAGCCGCGTTTATGTGCATTTGCGTTTAGAAGCATTTTTAAAAGATAACCTCAGGAGACCCTCCCAAATGCCCAGAATTTCAGACATATTGTGAGAAACAGAGAGAGCAGAAGCAGAGAGAGCACTACTTTCTGATGGGTGTTGCAACTGTAGTAACAGTGGCTGCTGAAACATGCTCGGCACTGTGGGAGGAGCTACATAGTGCTGTAATGTCTGTAATGCCTCCGGATGCATTCTGGAGCGCACACAACACTCCTTGTGCTTTTTTGCTGTGCTTTAATGTGTTCCAGTACAGTTCTGTGCAGAAATAATGTAGCACGTTCTACTATTTTTTCCTGCAAGCGAAACTTGGAACTGACTGCGCTTGTGTACTAGGTCCATTTGAATACATGTAAAACTCTGTGCACGCATTTTTGATGAAGAAAAAGGCACTGGACAGCATCTGGAAATGGACCAGCCCAAAAACGTGTCTAAACGGAAACGCGCATAAACGCGTCTACAAGCGTTTGGCGTTGGAAACGCCGGTAAACTCTACTCCTGAATTTGATTTTTGTGGTTTTAAAAAAATGCCTGTAACCTCAACCGCCTGTAAACGACTATGTGTACAAGGACACATAGGAAAAAACATAAAGGAGAGTTCAGGGTCTGCTGAAAAAAACTGCACAGCTGCTCCTAAACTTCAGTTTAGAACCTGCAGTGTACACGAGCCTAAAAGTATCGGATTTGTTGATGTCATTCTGTAGGCGAGTAGGGAGTGAAATCCAAGCTTCATAAGGTAGGAGAGGATCGGTTAGTGTGTTCTAGGACCAGAGCTATTCATTCTCTCTGACTGCATTTTACTTCCCCTGTGCCTAAGAAATTAGTGACTTCTGGAAAAGTAAGTATTATGGATTACCTCACTGACTCTGCTCACCACCTCTTCTTCTTCCTCAGCTTCTTCTCCAAAAGAGAGTAATTTAAAATTCCTGCACAAAAAAGACAAACAAGGAATTCACTAAACTGCTTTTAAGATCACACACTACACAATGTTATATTTTGTAGTCTTAGATGTACGTGACTCTGCAAATCAAGGATTCTCAACTTCACCCATGAACAATTTTCTGTAGTCTAAATAGGTGTATCCATGAATTCAAATGCCTCCTTTTGTATCACAGGAACATAGCTGATTGGACTAAATTATGCAAACGCTAGGGTGGCCTTTGTAACGGTTTTCATTTATCTAGGGCAAGATATATCTAGCAGGAATTAGGCTGCCCATACACTGATTTTTTTTTTTTGTTAGGCTGTTTGCTGAATGAAATAAATTAACAGATGCCTCCATCCATGCTAACAGTGTAAATGGCCAAATTCCCCTTGCCAAATCGTAGCTTCTACAAACATCTTCAGTATCAATGAATGTTAGAAAGATACCTTGGTCTTACCATGGAATGAGTAGATGTTTATTGTTCAAGAAGAGGATGAGAGGTGCGAAAGTTGTGGAACCATATAGTTCTACATAATCCCACCCATACTGTCAAGAAGTCTGTATAGGTGTTAATTCCATGGTGACTGGATTAAGGTATTTGTAATATCCATGTGGATATAAAGGCTGGGGTATCTTCCTGAGACCCAATGAAACTGAAGAATCAACATCACGGAATAAGTCCATTAGCATGACTAATTACTATTAGCTATAAGTGAGGACTTTCTTATTGTTTTGTCATCTCTAGTAAGAATGTGTTCGAGGGTAGCATTAGAGTATAACTAATCTGGACATACAGTTTAAAAATCTTGGCACAGTTTCACTTTCTATAAAATTTCCATTTTAATGAGATAGCATGTTGTGAACACTCAGTAGTTATGTCTACTCGCATGATCTTTTATGCAGACAACATGAAATATATCAGCTGTAGCAGCCAACGTCTGTAAGGCAATTTTAGATACAGGCTGCATCGGTGAAGGTCTGTATCAAGCCACATTCTGGGCTAATATTTTTTTTTACCCATCCTGCCAGGCTGTCCTCCCCCCCTTACCTTGCAAAGCCAGCAATACTCACCCAAATCCCCCATTTAGTATGGGTCATCAGTTCCATTGCAGGAACCTCTAATCCAACAATGCAAAGGAGTCAAAGACCACTGGTTCCCTGGCATACCCCTGTGACAACTTCAGTCATCTTCTCTTTCCTGAGAGGATCCCACTGCCAACCATCCAATAGGAAATGTCCATGTCAATTAGGCAGTAGTGGTGACACCCAAAGAAGAACCCCAAGCAGGAGGTTACCAGAAGCGGAGAATGGCTGATATGCCAATGGCCATATCTTAAAGTGGTTGTAAACCCTTACGTATACTCAGTGAAGTGACTGGGCTTAGGTGATGCACAGAGATGAAACAAATCTTTCCACATAAGTTGTACGTGTCTATCTGCAGTTCTCTTCTCTACATCCGTTCGAAGTCCAGAATTTATAAAACTTGTCACCACGCACCCACTGGAACCAGAAATACATTGCCGCATTTCGCCCTCCTCCAGGGCGTTATCCAGGGAGGGTGAAACGCGTCAACGTATTTCTGGTTCCGGTGGGTGCGTGGTGACATCACTTCCAGTGAGTGGAACAGACGCTGGTTTGCGGGAGAGGGATTTCCTGCTATTTGGAAGGGATTTCTATCCATGTTTGCCAGTCCACTTCTACAAATGAAAAGCCTTATAATATGAGCCTTAGTGCCTATTATGAAAGCCTGAGTATATTTTTAAACATGTGAGTGCATATAAGGCAGCCTTTTTTTTAAAAATTAAAGATTTTTTACAATATTGCACTATTTGTTGTTTTTTGTTTTGTTTTCCATTGTCAGCCAATCGCGGGAGCCGTTTCTGGAGGATATTGAGTACAGAGTTATCTGGGAGGACATGCCCAGTCACTTTAAGCTTGTTTGACTCTTTTGCCATATCAGCAAAGAGTCCACTCCATCTGGTGAGTAGGGATAAAGCAATAATCACAGATGGTGTGAGCACATTTGTTTGAAGAATTTTGGAGCACGGTTTCTTTTGGGATTGAGCACAATTCATATATTTTTGAAAAAAAATGTTTTGTGTGGACTTTATATTTTTTTTACTTTTATTTATAGTATTTTAATTTTATATATCATTTATTTGCGCTGTGGAGTGTTTATAATTTTACAAGGTTTTATCTAGTTCAGTGCAGGGTAAGTCAAGGTCAAGGTCAGGTCAAAGATCAAGGTCAAAAGGTCAAAGGTCAGGATTTTTTTTTTTTTTTTTTTTAAATTGGTTTCAGTGTGTTTTAGGTAAAAACAAAAACAAAATGCACACTATTGTTTCTGGGCTGTACTACGGGTACAAACAACAAATAACATACACATATATGGTATTGCTGCAATCGTCAAGAGCTGGAGAATTTATTTTGGGTTGTTCTGTGGTGGTAGGTTATGGAAGTAACAAAAAACTCACAGCTAAATAAAAAATAATTTTCTACTACTATTTTGGGACAGTTTTCCTATGACAATAAAAAAAAAAAAAAAGGGGTGATTTCTATTACCATTTTACCACCAAATGAAAGCCCAGTTTGTCCTGAAAAAACAAGGTATAATTCACCTGGATGTACAAAGTAGTTGTGGTGATATGTACGGTTTTACTAACGCGTCAACGTTGCAAAATTGTGCTTAGGCATTTAGATTTGTTTTACCCTTAGACGTGAAGGGGTTAACCTAGAGAAAATTGAAGGAATGTTCTGAAAAGAGAATTTTTCAAACTGATCTATAGCCAGCTTTAATCACATTATATGAATGTCTGTGTTAGGCACATCTAGTTTACAACTAATAAAACAGCCAGGGTAGATTGTAATGGACATGAGATTACTCAACAACCCCACATAGACAGGTAACTTACAATGAACCTTACATTGAACCTAGAGAAACTAATGAGTTTTCTAAAGAACTCACAAAATAGTCCTTTCTTATGGACTACATGAAACTGCAACCATAAAGAAAATTACAACTTCCCCAGCTGACATAAAGACAGCCTTTAAGAAGAATTACAGATCTATTATAATAATTATGAACACTGCCTGCTGTAAACAGCACTTTTTTTACTTTGTGTTCCTTTAATTATATGCTGCTCATTTCTAGAGTAATTAAATTCTATTTCAGAGAAAGTAAATTCCATACTTTTAATGGGAGATGGTGTCTTGCTGTGACTGCACTGAATGACACTACACAAACCTAAAGTCACTCATAAAACATGAATGCAATTGTTAGCTACCCGTGGGGGACAATGCAGGATATTATGTATTAAAAGGAAGGGAAAGCCGATTATGTTCTGCTACTTAGCTGCGCATAAATGTGTTGCATACAAGGGTCTCCAAAAAAGAGCAGAGATTTCTTGGTAATCACCAATTATATAGCTGTTTTTACATCAACTCCTGACCCTGTGTGCTCCCAGAAAATGACAACTTCCTATCCACAGAATATTTCTCCAGTTAAGGACAGTACAATAAGTTCCGGTACACAAGGAAATGAATAGCATATGCATTGTGTATTCCTAACACCTGCTGAACTCTCCTGATGTTGAAAGAGTGTGCTGAACAAGATTTCTACAATGCCTGTGGCAAAAAGAAAAGTTAAAGTTGGTTAGGCCACAAGACAGCTAACTGATCACTACAGCAGAATAGAGCACCATTTTTAAAGCCAAACTCCAGGAAAACAGCTAAATACACATAATACATACAGGGGTTGGGCAAAAGAAAAAAAAAAAAGAAAACACTACATGATTGGCAAAGACGACATGCGTTGAAAGCGGAAGTGATGTAACATTCTTTTGCTTCCACTGTGTGATGCAACACCTAGCTAACAGGTGGGAAGACTGAGATTGAGCTCTGCAGCCATTTTTGCAGCAGTTGATTTCTTATTCCTGGTCACAACCCTGCACAATGTCCTTTTGTCTCTTTTGGTCATTTGACCAAGATGTTTTTCCAGGAAATGGAATATGCCATCATAACCTTTGATACTGTACCTTTCGACACAGCAAATAAATTGGCAACTTCAGTCACAGAGGCACCAGCTAAGCGGCACCAACAATTTGTCCTCTTTGAAGCTCACTGAGCTCAGATATGACTCCGTATTACTAGCAGAGCAAGCAGTGAAAGACAGAAGTGAGGCTTCCCACCAGTTTACTAAGTGTCTCATCACACAGCGGAAGCAAGAGAATGGAATATGCCATCATAACCTTTGATACTGTACCTCTTGACATGGCAAATAAATTGGCAACTTCAGTCACAGAGGCGCTAGCTAAGCAGCACCAACAATTTGTCCTCTTTGAAGCTCAGTGAGCTCAGATATGACTCCGTATTACTAGCAGAGCAAGCAGTGAATGACAGAAGTGAGGCTTCCCACCAGGTAACCAGGTGTCTCATCACACAGCGGAAGCAAAAGAATGTTACATCACTTCCGCTTTCAACATGAAACTTGTCATCACTTTCACACCTGCAAATCATGTAGTTTTTTCCATTTTTTTCTCTAAACCCTATATATGAACTATATGTCCGACCAGGCCAATTGTTGCGTTACGGCGCTGCATTACTTTAACTGACAATTGCGTGGTCATGCAACGCTGCACCCAAATTAAATTTATATCCTTTTTTCCCCCACGAATTGAGCTTTCTTTTGGTGGTATTTGTCACACAGAACAGCTCTGTTTAGCAGGACAGAAGACTTGATTTTTCTCATCTGTGGTTAAAGTAGACCTAAAGTACTAATTTTCAAAAACTGTGAGCAAGCAGCCGGGCAAAAGAAGCCAAAAGAAGACAGGCAAAAGAAGCCAGTACCAGAAAGGGACGTCAGGCCATTGAAAGAAAGTAAAGTTTAGTTCTGCTTTCAGTGACACTTACAGGTCTTGTCTCTGCTACAGCCTGTGATGAAGAAGCACCATACTGATTAGCTCTTCTCTTTGTTACTCTTCTCTCTCTCTCTCCACCAATTAAAATCTTCCTTGTTAACACATGAGCACAACTAGCCGACTCCTTGTGTTGCTTCTCCCTTTCCCAGTCTGAGCTCTGCTACATAGGGGATTGCAAGAAGCTGACACCAGTGTATAACGTATACAGAGCTTAATTAATGTGTGTTTTTTTATAGATCTAGGTGGAGTTTTACTTTTATATTGTACACATATTTCTGTCACCCGATTTTACAGAGCCTTTTGAGGGCAGATAGATATGCAGGTGAAAATCATACCACCCATAGACACCAGCAGGGTCTAGTGGCACTGCTACAAACACCAATGATTGTCTAGCCACTTGCTCTCTTGAGGATTTACCCCCCTTCCCGACCAGGCCATTTTTTTGCATTACGGCGCTGCATTACTTTAACTGACAATTGCACAGTCATGCAACACTGCACCCAAATGAAATTTACGTCCTTTCATATTTTCCCCACAAATTGCGCTTTCTTTCGCAGGTATTTGATTGCCTGTGCATTTTTTATTTTTTACACTATTAAAAAAAAAGACAGACAATTTTGAGGGAAAAAAATAATATTTTTGATTTTTTGCTATTAAACAGGTCCAGTAAAAAAAATTTTAAAAAGACCAAATTTTGTCATAAATGTAGGCCAAAATGTATTCTGCTACATGTCTTTGCTAAAAAAAAATTCCAATACGTGTAAATTAATTGGTTTATGTGAAAGTTATAGAGTTTACAAAAAGGGGTGAAACTCAAAAAATTTGAATATAGTGCAAAAGTTCATTTATTTCAGAAATGCAACTTAAAAGGTGAAACTAATATATGAGATAGACATGCAAAGCCAAGATAGTTCAAGACGTGATTTGTCATAATTGTGATGATTATGGCTTACAGCTCATGAAAACCCCAAATCCACAATCTCAGAAAATTTGAATATTACATGCAATCAATAAAACAAGGATTGTACATAGAAAAATATCGGACCTCTGAAACGTATAAGCATGCATATGTACTCATACTTGGTTTGGGCCCCTTTTGCAGCAATTACTGCCTCAATGCGGCGTGGCATGGAAGCTATCAGCCTGTGGCACTGCTGAGGTGTTATGGAAGACCAGGATGCTTCAATAGCGGCCTTCAGCTCTTCTGCATTGTTCGGTCTCATGTCTCTCATCTTTCTCTTGGCAATGCCCCATAGATTCTCTACGGGGTTCAGGTCATGCGAGTTTGCTGGCCAATCAAGCACAGTAATCCCACGGTCATTGAACCAGGTTTTGGTGCTTTTGGCAGTGTGGGCAGGTGCCAAGTCCTGCTGGAAAATGAAGTCAGCATCCTCATAAAGCTCGTCTGCGGAAGGAAGCATGAAGTGCTCCAAAATCTCCTGGTAGACGGCTGCGTTGACCCTGGACTTAATGAAGCACAGTGGACCAACACCAGCAGATGACATAGCTCCCCAAATCAACACAGACTGTGGAAACTTCACACTGGACTTGAAGCATCTTGCAGTGTGTGCCTCTCCATTCTTCCTCCATAATCTGGGTCCTTGGTTTCCAAATGAGAAGCAAAAGTTGCTCTCATCAGAAAAGAGGACTTTGGACCACTGAGCAACAGACCAGGTCTGTTTTTCTTTAGCCCAGGTAAGACGCTTCTGACGTTGTTTGTTGTTCAGGAGCTGCTTGACAAGAGGAATATGACATTTGAAGCCCATGTTCAGGATCCGTGTGGTGGCTCTTGATGCACTGACTCCAGCCTCAGTCCACTCCTTGTGAAAGTCCCCAACACTTTTGAATGGCCTTTTCCTGACAATCTCTCCAGGCTGCGGTCATCCCTGCTGCTTGTGCACCTTTTTCTTCCACACTTTTCCCTTCCACATAACTTTATATTAATGTGCTTTGATACAGCACTTTGGGAACATCCAACTTCTTTTGCAATTACCTTTTGAGGCTTTCCCTCCTTATGGAGGGTGTCAATGATGGTTTTCTGCATAACTGTCAGGTCAGCAGTCTTTCCCATGATTGTGATTCCTACTGAACCAGACTGAGAGACCATTTAAAGGCTCAGGAACCCTTTGCAGGTGTTATGGGTTAATCAGCTGATTAGAGTAGGACACTTTGAGCCGAGAATATTGCACCTTTTCACAATATTCTAATTTTCTGAGATTGTGGATTTGGGGTTTTCATGAGCTGTAAGCCATAATCATCACAATTATGAAAAATCACGGCTTGAACTATCTTGCTTTGCATGTAATGAGTCTCTCTCATATATTAGTTTCACCTTTAAAGTTGCATTACTGAAATAAATTAACTTTTGCACGATATTCAAATTTTTTGGAGTTTCACCTGTATACTGGGATTTTTATTTAAAATTTTTACTAGTAAACTGTTTTGTTTACAAACAGTTCTGCTCCCCATCGGAGAAGCTCGGCAATCACAGGGCGCAGGCGAGTAAACACCGACCAAGACCTAGTGAATGACAACCGCGGCCGCGAATGGCGGTGTGGGTAGGGTGTGCGCCCCCTACCCGGAAATGCAAAATCACACACACACACACACACACACACACACACACACACACATATATACACACACACACACACACACACGTGATTTTGCGCACCAGTACCGCCCTGTAGCAGTATTTCTGCTATAGGGCGGTAGGGAAGTGGCTAGGTATAATGTTCAAATTCTTGCGATCAGGGAAGAACAACGGTGCCCGGGACTGGCTCTTTAATCTGATTCCACAGTCTGATTGCACAATCTACTTTAGATCTACAAACTAGTTCAAGGGTCTGCTAACTCGATACAGATTGATCGGATAGATTAGATATGTTACCATATGAAATTTTTTTGGTAAATCTAAACATGATGCTACAATCTGACAATCTAATCTTTGTACAAAGTACACTAACCCTTTTGCCTCGTACACACAATAAAAATATCTGATGAATGATCGTCTGTTTTTTTGCATGCTAGTCTCATATCGAAAAAACAAATAGTTTACCAAAGTTATGAACATTCTCGTAAGACTGAATACAACTTCTGGAAAGATGTAATGTATTGTGTTGTACTGTAATGTATTGTGTTGTACTGTAATGTATTTGTTCGTTTCTGAGCATGCATGGTCTTGGTCACTCAATTTTTTTATAGACAAAATACTGTACTCATTAAACAAAAATCATTCATTCTGTTATTGTACGAGAAAAAATTTTTTTCTGCTTATCCCTTCTGATAATTTGGCATGAACTGTCGTGATCAAATCTCAAAAGTTGTGTACGAATGATCAGACTATCGGACAATCGCTTTGTAAGCGTTATTTTTAGTACGATTTTCTCATCGTGTGTACTAGGCTATAGGGGGACATCATCAATACAAGAGAAACCTGACAGACGTTCTAAACCTCTCACGCTGTGAACTTGTTTTTTTCTGCTGGCTGTGTTCCCACTGGGGATTTCCTCTCACTTCCTGCTGTTTTAGCAGACACCTGTCAGACAGACAGGAAATGGGGAGATTTTGTCTCACCTGATCTGGAAAATGGACATGAACTTAAGACATTTCAAAATGGGGACACAGACAACTAAAAGCTGATGTTCTATCCCTTACCCCATTCAATACAAAACTAAAAAGAAAGATTTGGTTGGAGTTGGGATTTAACATTTGTACATGCTTAGCTTTAACATGCTTCCACATGTACCTATATTACAAGCATTGCACCCTATAAAAATGTGTATCATTCTACAGAAAGGTGGATTGATTTCCTAAAATGTAAAGAAAGGTAATACAATATGGGGGCACAGTGTACAGCATCTGACACCCACTTGGGAAATTATCTGTATGAAGTTTGTGCATTCTCTCCCTGTTTACAAGTTTCCTTCTACAAGCCAAAAACATATTTTGCAGGTAAACTGGCATTTGAATATGGCAAGTTGCACCCGTAAATACTATCTGAACTGCAAGTGAGGTGGATCTTTCCCAAGTATTAAAGCTAAACTCCAGGCAAACCGCTAAATAAATTAAATAAAAACATTATCGCTGTTTACTTATCAAAGAATTTGTTTTGAAATTTACACAGTTCTGCCACCTAGCACAGCCCTGTCTGCTGGGACAGCATCTTTCATCTCACCCTCCAGCCAGTGGATAATGACAGGAGAAACAGAGACTAATCAGCTAATTTCTCTGTCACTCTGCCCCCCTCCTCCTATCAACATATTCCTTGTTAACACATGAGCAGTGCAGCACTGAATGGTTCCTTTCCCAGTCTGACTGCATAACAAAAACATTTAAGTTCCACTTCCAGTGACACCCATTCTGATCTATGAGCCTTTTAAAGGCACAGCGACTTTGAAAAAGTCCCTGCATTACTTTGATGTGACTTGAGTGCTAGAGAGTGTAAAGTTGCATCAAAGTCGCATAAAAAAAAAAAAAAAAAAAAAAAAATCACACTCCCAGGTCACACTGGAAGTCGTGCAACTTAGGAGTCGCACAAGTGTGAACGAAGCCTAAAAGCTACATTATTAAATTCAGAGTTGCATTAATTTGTTTCTTTTATATCTGCTTGCCATTTAAATTTCCATTCATTTTATTGGCATATACAAAAGCTTGTCACTAGTGTGGGTAGTAAGCATGGCACTTACTTGGTTCCTTTCACCTTTGCCTGCTTAGACTCTTCCTTCTGTTTTTCTTTTTTCAGCTTCTTTGTTACTCGTGGTACAATGTCATCAAATGGATTAAATAAAACCTACAAAAAAAAAACAAAATCAGGACAGGATATCTTATATTTTAATTAGTTCTAAAAAGTATTAAAAGGAGAGCTATAGTCAAGAAATACCAATAAAAGTACATGACATCAGTTCATGTGAAACTGTGGTTTCTTTTTATTTGATTTTGAACTGTAAAAATATTTCAGATGAAGACTCCTCATAACTGTGTACTTGTTTCTATAAGGTAAGGTGTTCACAGGTGAGTCAAACTTCATTGTGTGAAACAGATAACATGACTACCAGGAAACTGCACTGTGCAAAAGCCAGCCCTCTATTTTCTTTTGAAGGCCAAAAACTTAATGACAATTGTGCATCCAAATTCAAGTTGCACGTGTAAACAAGCTTCTAGGTGACAGTTGTATTGCAGTATTCTGTGTCCTGTCTGCAGCTCATCAATAAAATATTAGTATAAATTATTTTTTATATATATATATATATATATATATATATATATATATATATATATATTATATATGGGTTGGTTGTGTGTGTGTAATATATATCTGAAGAACCTATTATTTTTTTTTTGGGGGGGGGGGGAAGCACCCCCTGAAGTTTTTACTTCATGGTCTCTCTATGAAGGACAGTAACATCTTCATCTTAAATGATTAATGCTCAAGAACAAATTAAACATGCATTCAGACAACACACATACAAACCTCACTCGTCTTTATCTTGTGTGGATTAACTGGCCTTTCTTCTTCACCAATTTCTACTTCTGTCAGTCTTAGTAGATTGTATATTGTGTCTCCAGTAACCTGGAAAAAATTAAAATTTGTTTACCTCCTACACTGACAGTGACCACTCTAAAATAGGGAAAAATGGGTAAAGTGTTTGACTGAACAACAGGCTTGATTTCCATTCAAGGAACCAGTCAGCTCTTACCATTCCTGTTCTTCAGTCATACATTTAATATGATTATGCTTATTATTAAACTATTGTAGATAAAAAATATATTTTATAATCAAAAATATCTACTGTATAATTTTTTTTTTTGTTTTATGAACACAGAAATTAAAAACGGTGTATGTATAAAAAACATAACAGGCTCCTTCAGGACATCAGTCTAACCTTCCCAAATATGGTGTGTTTGTTATTAAGCTCATCAGCACGGCCAAGTGTAAAGAAAAATTGGCTGCCATTGTCATGAGGTCCAGCATTTGCCATGGCAACAAGACCTCTCCGATTAAAGCGCAGACGTGAATGGAATTCATCCTGAAAGTGAAAACAAAAAAAAACAAACAAATAAATCCAATTCTGTGCGCAATACACAACTATGAGTATTCAACATACTAAGAAACGTATTAGGAATTCATTTATTTGGAGCAAAAGCAAAGCAGATGGAAGCACAGTGCACAAACAAATATGGGTTTTAAGGTCAGAAAAAAAATAAATCCTTTTAAAGTTAATTTTGTGGAAGGTTTTTTTTTTTTTCAAAATGATACAAAGGTCATTTCAAGAGGTTATATGGAATAGAAGCTGGGTAGATAAATTAGATAAATTCAAGACTGCAACATTATTCAGATCTTTTCCCCCATTTACAGCACCTCTACAACTCTCCCTCACAAATGAAAGTGTAAGTAACTCCCAACTTCTTATTTGATCCCACTTGGTCTGGCAAATATACCACTAAAAGAGTTTTAAAGTGGTTCTAAAGGTTGAAGATTTTTTACGTTCATGCATTCTCTGCATTAAGGTAAGAAAAGAAAAAAACTTCTGAGTGCAGCTCCCTCCCCCTGCCAGTCCCTTTTATACTAACCTAAACCCAATCTTGATCTAGCGCTGTGCACGAGAGCAGTGGCTCTCTCCCACCTCATTGGCTCAGAGACAGCAGTGGGGGCCATTGGTTCATGCTGCTGTCAATTGCAGCCAGTAAGGAGGGAGTGGGGGGCAGGGATGAGCTGCACTCTGTGTGTCTATGGACACACAGAGCAGGTATGCATGAGTGGCATCCCTGGCAGGGGAACCGAAAAGAGGAGAATTGGGACTGCTCAGTGCAAAACTATTGCACAGACCAATATGACATGTTGGTTATGAAAAAAAAAAAAAAAACATAATGGTTTACAATCGCTCTAACATGTGCACTTTAAAAAGGGACATTGTTTATTACTTAAAGTTTATTTTTAAATGCCATACCTACAGTTAAGCAATTATATTTACCTCTTTCACTGCCCATGATGCCAAACACTTTCCTACTGCAAAGTACCCCCTGAAACGGAAACTTCTAGGAGTACGGGTTACCTGTATCCCCCATCTAAATTATGTAAACATATGAAAAAGGTAGACATGACAAAAAACAAATCTGTTTATTATATTCAGTCCTACCCTGAATGGTTTGCCATAGATGGATTCTCCCCCAGTGCCAGTGCCTGTTGGATCTCCACCCTGAACAATGAAGTCAAGTACAACTCTGTGGAAGATTGTATTATCATAATAACCTGGAAGAACATGAAGAATAGAACAGTCAATTGTCAATACACTGATGCAAATATTGTTATTATTACTACAGATACTTATATAGCACCGTCAAATTTACTCGTTTTACATATATTGTAGTACATTCACATCAATCCCTAATGCTCAAGGAGTGTACAATCTAAAGTCCCTAAGTAGTATTCACACATACATACTGTATACTAGGGACAATTCAGACAGGAGCCAATTAACTTAACAGCATGTGTTTGGAGTGAAGGAGGATACCCAGGTACCCGGAGGAAACCCTTGTAGGCACAGGGAGAACATACAAATTCTGTGCAGGTAGTGTCATGGTTGGGATTCGAACCAACGACCCTGGTGCTGCCAAATGGAAATACTAACCACGTAGCTACTGTGCTGCCAGACATAACATTGTGTAGTGACACGGAAGGAAATCTTTATTACAGATGATGCAGAAGTAAGACATTTTTGGGGAGGGGTTGCCATCCAAGAGTTATTTAATTTTCTAGATCATTAATCCACTACTTGAAGTGGATCTTCACTTTTTAGCACAAGTCTGCTCCTTGAAACCCCCCCCCCCCCCCCCCCCCCCCCCCGCTACACAAATATTCTTTTTTATCCTTGTTTACTTACTTTTTGTTTAATTAAAAAGCTTTTCGGCCTGCCCCCATCATCCCGGATTGCCTAGGTGAATGATGTCAGGGCCCCTGGTGCCTCCTGGGATATGTGATGTGTATTTCACAGGCGACACCGAGAGCACTAGACTCTTTCATTCTCTAAAAGAGGGGGGCGGGCCTAGCAATGTATCATTGGGAGGTTGCACCTGAACCTGGAAGAGACTCCTGAAGCTGTCAAAGGGGAACATGGCAGAGGGGGACCCAAGCAGCAGCTGTAGAGAAGAGGACTTCAGCCGAACAACGGTGCATGGGTAAGTATCTGAACTAAGGACAACCCAGCATCAGGTAAACGGGAAAAAATAAACACAAGGGTGGAGGGTGAAGTTCCTCTTTAAAGTGCTACTAAAGCCATGATTCTACATTCACTATATCTGGTCTCCCACAGTACACAGAACATAGAAATGGAATTTTAGTAACTATAAACTGCTAAATACCTTTTCTGATCAGCAGTTAGAGCAGTCTTGTGACTTCTATCAGTGTCCGACCGAGCACTGGTTAAAGCTTGTAGGAGGAGTTTTTTCATTCTTTTGATTGTCATATGCATAACCCCTGACCCTCTGTCTGGACAGTACCGATTGGCCCTGTGCCGGTCACCTGCACCCTCCCAAAAAACCCCCAACTCTCTAGCAATACGCACCAAACATGTGCAGAGTGCCTCCTAGGGCTCTGTACTATCAGCAGATGGATTGGGGACCGTAGAAGAAGGGGAGACTTACAGAATACAGGATCAAACAGCCTTTTTACATAATGTGGAGGATTAACCCCTTAGGTTCCACAGTGAATATAAGAAGTATGTTATACTGCATATAAAGACGGATTTTACTTTTGTGTGTTTAGTAACACTTTCATGGCCCTGTAATTATTTTTCATTAAATTGTTTCCTAGTGTGTATTTTTACCTCCTTGTCACGTCTCCCATTAGTGCCCAAACCTCTCTGTTTCACCTCACTTGCATTTGTTTGGAACGACCAGTGCACAATAGATACACAGCAATTGAACCAAGGCTCTAAATCTGTGAAGCCAATGTTCAACTTAGTCTCATTAGTCCTTCTACTAAGAATTCCTACATGAGGATGGATGGGAAAAACTAAAACAAAAAACACATAATACCCAGCGCAAGGGCAGTGTGGATATGAGGAGTGTTGGTGGCAATTTCCTTGTGAATTGAACTACTTGACTGCATTGTGCTATATTGAACTTGAGCCACTACCAAAAACTGCTCATCTGCATGCCTGAGCCATGAGTACACTGTAGTGATGGTAATATATTGTGACATTCTGTAGTGTTGTAAGAAATGTCCAAAATACATTTTATTAAATTAGAATTAGATTAAAGAAAAAAAGTCCACAAAGAACTCCACACTGTAATAACAATGTTTTATGAATGTTAACACGCTTACTATGGTTTCCGCAGTGTGCAACATCTCTATCATGGTGGGACTGTAAATGGAAGACACTCCTGTAAATAACCTGGCCTTGCCACACTCACTGCCCATACCCATACGGTGGTGGCTTAGGGAGTGTTGGAGGATGAAGATTTCAAGGAAAGCATAAGTCAGCAGCTTGTGTGCTTATCTTTTTATTTTGACTAAACTTGTGCTTTAAAAGGTTTGGCTTTAGATATTCTTTAATTTAATAAAGAATATAAAGCTCCAAGAATCCTTTCTTACTGAAATCTTAACAGGTATGAACAGTGCTTAAAACAAAAGTATGACCAAAGCTTTTTTGGCCATACTTCTCTTCTGGGTCACAGGAGTGCACTTATTTCTCCACTCCTGTGACCAAGATTCAGCCTACATCAGGCTAAAGCCCTCTGTTGGTTGACATCACAGCCAGTCTAGGCTCTGCAAGGATCCCGACTGGCAGCTGGCTCAGCCTTTCCGTGACCCATTGAGAGCCTGAGCCAACCTCTTCCATCCCCTCCACGGCGCGCCCCAGTGAGCAGACAGTGGTGACTGACAGTCACCACTCTGCTCAGTGAAGAGCAGGAACTGAGCAGTCATGTAATCGGTCAGTTCTCAGTCTTAGAGCTGGTGGGTGGTCAGCTGAAGCATGTATGTTTGTTCTTTTGCTATCCCACATGTCTCCTTTAACAGGCATTTTGAAAGAAACAAAGTGAATCCTGCTGTACTCTTTAAACACTGTGTCAGACTAAATGTATCATGATAAAATACGGTGTAAAAAGAAAACCGCTTTTTACTCTACAGTAAAATGAAAACTACACCCAAAGCTCAAGCATCTCACCATGATAAATCACATTGTAAAATGGGCACAAAAAAACCATGGAGAGCGTCTCATACCTTCTAGACAAAGCTGGATAAAGTTTCGGCAAGCTCTTGGAGTTTCCTTTGACCACAACTCGATATCGATCTCTCCAGCTGTTGTTTTCAGCAAAACCTGAAATATTGTTATTTGTAATTATACCGTCAGCTTTGTATTTTTTTTTAATACAGTGTATAAAAAGAACTAAAAACACTGAATTTACAATAATGTATGTAAATGTGTCCACATATATGCAGCAACACTTGACATTAAAGTAGAACTATTGCCTTTTTTTTTCATTTTGGATAGAGCAAGGGAAGGTTATAACCCCTGTCAGATTTCATTTCACCATCTGTCTCCCATTGAGTAGATTTCCCTTCATTTCCTGTCCCATAGCCATATAGGAAGTGAGAGGAAAAATCTCTGCAAATGAAGGAAATTCCTTGGGCACCACCAGAACTAGTGTCCCCATTGAAAGATTTCCCCTCTATTACTTTTCTGAGGACAACCAAAACTTTTCTTTATTTCTACTTTCAATGATAATGGTAAACAGAAAGGGTTTAGCAAGGGCACACAAAACAATAAAAACTGACAGGTGTTTTATTTATTATTTCAGATACTTATATAGCGCCACCAATTTGTGCAGCACTTTTTACATATATATATATGTATATATATCTAACGATCGGGACCCCCCCGATTCCGGATCACATGACTGCTGTGATAGCCTCTGACTGGCTGTCACAGTGATCAGTCACTGTACAGCCCGGCCCTTTGTGTTTTTTTTTTTTCTCTGTTTATGAATGGAGGAGAGAGATACATTGTATCTCTAACTCCTGGCATAGAGGAAAAAAATGTTTGTAAAAAAAAAAAAAGATAAATAAATATTAAAAAATAAAATAAAAAAATAAAGAAAAAAGACCTAGATCAAGGTTTGATCTAGTTCAGTTCCAGGGTGTTTGGGTCAAGGTCAAAGGTCAGAATTTAAACAACATTTGGTGTCACTGTGTTTTAGGTAAAAAAAGCAAAACACAATGTGCACTATTGTTTCTGGGCTGTACTACGGGTACAAACAACAAATAACATACACATATATGTATCACTGCGATCGTCAAGAGCTGGAGCATTTATTTTGGGTTGTTCTTTGGTGGTAGGTTATGGTAGTAGCAAGAAACACACAGCTAAATTTAAAAAATTATTTTTTTTTACTATTTTGGGCCAGTTTTCCTTTTATATTAAAAAAAAAATATCAGGAGATATCCATTACCATTTACCACCAAATGAAAGCCCAATTTGTCCTGAAAAAAAAAACACAGTATAATCCACCTGGATGTACAAAGTAGTTGTGACGATATGTACAGTTTTACTAACACGTCAAAGTTGCAGAATTGTGCTTAGGCATTTAGATTTGTTTTACCCTTAGGCGGGAGGGGGTTAAAAAAAACAATCAGTTCTCTACAGTGCCTGTTTGCACAATCAGGTGTGAACAGGCACCATAGAGAACAATTGATTTTCTAAGTTTGAGCTATTTTGGAGCATGGAGCTACAAAACGCTGAAGTGTGAATGCAGCGTAAATCTTTGTTCCGCTAGCTGTCAGCTTCTCATAGCTTGACAGGCTGCTGGCAGAGGGGTTGGATGGGGCACTTGTGCTCTCCACCTGCACTAAATGTCAGAGCCCCCCAGTATGAAATGGGGGAATCCCTACCACAGCACTCTATGTAATGAACATTCAAACTGCTGCAAGCATTAGTATGGGCATGTCCTGTCACACCACACTGTATGTGCACATAAACATGAGCATTAAGCCAGCCATAGATGATGCCATTTTCTTTGCTGCAACCACAAGTGGAAGGAAAGAAAACTGCTCAGTTCCCCCATCAACACAGTCAGTGCCATTGGGGAAATCCCTCCCGCAGCACTATTGTGTTCTACCAGTGAGGAACCTTCCCTGCCGGCAGAACACGATTACTGCTGGTGGCTATGTAAACAATCCGACAGGCTGCTTGTACTAAACTTAATTGATGGATCAACTTCAGTACAACCAGCCGGTCCATAGACGAATTGAATCCCAGCCGCTTCTGCTTTATGATCCATCTATGGCTGGTTTTATATGAAATCCTACAGATGGGAAATACAAGTTTCTGAGTTGGAAATTCCATGTGAACGCCCCATGAACTCAGAGAAAACAACTTTCCCTGTATTGGGAGCTCTGACTTTGTAGGGCAGTAGTGATAGCACCAAAAGGGCCATACGTAATATTCATTGAATGTAACACTACAGAGAGCTGCTAGGGACTGCACACATGGAACAGGAGATGGGCAGAGGATGTAGAAATTCTTTAGGAGTTGCTGGAGACTGGAGACATACACCAGGATGTCATAGATTGGAGACACAATACATGAGACTGCTAGAGATCACTGCTATTACAGCAAATCCACATCTGTCCTCCCCAACAGACCACCTAAAGCGGAACTAAACCCTCCTCTCCTTTAAGCCAAGGGAGCTGCCATCTTAGTCTCTGTTTGATCTGCAGGTGCCATGCAGCTGCATATGTGGTCAGTTATGACCCCAGCCAATTGAAGGCTTGATAGCCTAGTTGAGAGCACAAGCAACTGTTACAGTTATCATTCATGGCTTGCCTTGTATGTAACTGTTTTGGGAAACAATCCAATTGTTGGGTTTAGTTCCACTTTAAAATTGATTTGTGCCTGATATTTCTCTCTGCAGGATCCATTATAAATGATGAGAGGAAAATAACCAGAGCAGAAAGAAGAGATGGACGGCACAGAAAAAAGGGAATGTGAAAGACAAAGAGCCAAACCATTTCACTGCTAGAACCGAGTCTAAAAGATATCGCTCCTTCACTGACTTCAGTAAGTACCTGGGGCCCGAAGGCCACACAATATGTTCTAAAGAGCCACAGGTTGGACACCAAGGTCAGAAGGAGTTCACATGACCTTTCCCAGTGGCTGTCCTCTCACATTCCTCCCTTTAATGGTCTCTCCCAGTGGCATTCCCCCTCGCTACCCCACTCTCCGCAGTGGTCTTGCTCAGTGATCCCTCTCACTCTCCTCCCTACAAAGGATTTTCCCAGGAGATTCTGCCTGCAACCCCCCTCAACCCCTCTCCGCAGTGGTTTCTCCCAGTGGTACCCATCGCACCCCCTCCCTGTAATAAGTGGTGTCTCCCAGGGGTACCCCCCTCATGCAGTATTTTTTCCCAGTGGTCTCCCTCGCATCCCCTTCCTGCAGTGGTCTCTCCCAGTGGTTCCCCCTCACACCCACCGTCTGTGGCGGCTATCTTCCAGAGATCCCCATCCCCACAGAGGGTTCTCCCAAAGGTCCCCCTTGCACCTCCCTCTCTGCAGTGGTCTCTCTCGAAGGTCCTCCTTGCACCTCCTCTCCACAATGGTATCTCCCAGAGGTCCCCCTTGCACCCGCCTCCTGCGTAGTGGCTTCTACCAGAGTTCTTCTTGTACCCCCCCCCCCCCCCCCCCGTCCCTGTGGTCCTTCTCACTTCCCTTCATGCAGTGTTCTTTCCCAGTGGTCTTCCTTACACACTCCTTCCTGCAGTGGTCTCTCCCAGTGTTTCCCCTTAGACAGTGGCTTCTTCCAGAGATCCCCCTTGTGCCCCCTTTACACAGTGGCTTCTCCCAAGGGTCCCTCTTGCACTCCCCCCCCCCCCACAGTGGTTTCTCCCTGCAGTGGCTTCTCCCAGAGGTCCCCCTCCCCCCCCCTCTCTCTGCAGTGGTCTTTATTGGAGGTCTTCCTTGCACCCCCATCTCCACAATGGTATCTCCCAGATGTCCCCCTTGCACCCCCCTCAATGCAGTGGCTTCTACCAGAGGTCTTCTTGCGCCCCTCTCCCTGTGGTCCCTCTCACTCCCCTCCCCGCAGTGGTTTCTCAACGTGGTCCCCCTTGCACCGCCTCCCTGCAGTGAGTGGTCTCTCCCAGGGGTACCCCCCCTCATGCAGTGTTTTTTCCTGGTGGTCTCTCTCCTTCCTGCAGTGGTCTCTCCTAGTATTTCCCCTTGCATCCCTCTACTCTGCAATAGTCTGACCCAGTGGTTCACCCTCACATCCTCTTTCACAGTGGCTTCTTCCAGGGGTCCTCCCTGCAGTGTTTTCTCCCAGTGGTCCCACCCCCAGGTGTAACCCCCTCATGCAGTGTTTTTTTTCCAGTGTCACCCGTGCACCTCCCTTTCTGCAGTGATCTCATGATCTCACCCAGTGTTCCCCCCTTGCATCCCTCCTCTCTGCAATGGTTCCCCCTCACACACATCTTCTGCAGTGGATTCTTCCAGAGGTCCCCCCTTGCACCCCTCTCCCACAGTAGCTTCTTCCAGATGTCCCACTTGCACCTCCCCCAACAGTGGTCTCTCTGAGGTCCTCCTTGCACCCCCCCCCCCCTCCCTCAGTGGCTTCTAATAGAGATCCCCCTTGCACCCCCCTCCCTGCAGTGGCTTCCAAAAGGGGTTGCCCTTTCACCCCCCCCCCCCCCCCCCCCCCTCCACAGTGGTCTCTTTTAGAGGTCCCCCTTGCAACTACCCCCCACAGGCTTCTCCTGGAGGTCCCCCTTGCAACCCCTTCTCCTCAGTGGTCTCTCCCAGAGGTCCCCCTTACAAACCCTCTCTGCAGTGGTCTCTTCCAGAAGTCCCCCTTAAACTCCCCCTCCCCACAATGGATTCTCCCAGAGGTCCCTCCTTGCGCCCCCCTCTTCTCAGTGGTCTCTCCTAGAGGTCCCCCTCTCCCCAGTGGCTTCTCCCAGAGGTCCCCCTTGCACCCCCTCTTCTCAGTGGTCTCACCTAGAGGTCCCCCTCTTCACAGTGGCTTCTCCCATAGGCCCCCTTTTACCCTATCCACAGTGGCTTCTCCCAGAGGTCCCCCCTTGCACCCCTCTCTCTGTAGTGGTTTGTGCCAGAGGTCCCCCTTGCACCCAGCTTTCATTCATCCAGGGGTCCCCCTCGCACCTTGCCGTTCGTAGGCGGCTCCTGGATGTAGATATTACTCATTTCTATGAGTTCCTTGAAAACAAACTACCGCGTTCAGCCTGACAGTCCGGACTGAACCACTCAGCAGCCACAGGGGTGGAGACAGACTGATCTAAACTACCATACGCGGGGAATTAGAAAACGTTC